AGGGGTGAGTGAGTTTAGTTTTACGCTGCTTTTAGCAATATTCCAGCAAGATCACGGCGGGGGACACCAGAAATGAGCTTCACACATTGTACCAACGGTGGGGAATCAAACCTGGGTCTTCGGCGTGACGAGCGAACACTCTAAGCACAAGGCTACCCCCCCGTCCCTAAAGCAGCAAGGGACCCGTGAAGGTCCGGGTTAGAATATTGATCTTCAGTAACCCATGCTTGTCGTAAGATGCGACTATAACTGGATCGGGTGGTCAGGCTCGTTGGCTTGCTTGACACATGTCATTGGTTCCCAATTGCGCACATCGATGCTCATGCTGTTGATCACTGGATTGTCTGGTCCAGACTCGATTATTTACAGACCGCCGCCATATGGCTGTAACATTGCTGAGTGCGGCGTAAAACTAAACTCACTCACTCACTAAAGCAGCAAGAGGGGTGGAGGTAGGGTCATTTTTAGCTGTGATGGCCACAGTTTAAACGCATCAGTGACTTTGCGATTATCGATCATCTTACTTGAACATACAGGGAAATGAATGAAATGTGACGAAATAATCTAACATAGTCTCTCAGCGAATATTACCATCCATCATTTATTTCTCGGTAATTCTGTAACGTAAGTACGTGTCCGCATGCAGTAATTACAATCAATGATTAATGAGCGCAGATTAATTGAGCTGTGAGTGTGAAGGGAGTGTTGGGCTTACTCCGCAGCAGTAATAGATCAAACGACACCAGCATATCGCCAAGATCGAAGATGACTGCAGCGTGATTCGGTATTTACTGTCCATGGAGTATACTGTAAATCTTCCAGTCCGTTCCTGGCTGCAGGCGTCTTTAGTCGACGGTATTTTCTTGTCGGTGGGGAAGCCTAGTGGTTAAAGCGTCTCCTAGTTCAGCGAAAGGCCAGGTTCGATGCCCAGTTGTGTGAAGTTTGTTTGTTTGTTGTTTAACGCCGCACTCAGCAATATCCCAGCTATATGGCCGCGGTCTGTACAAATATCGAGTCTGGACCAGACAATCTAGTGATCAACAGCATCAGCATCGACAAGGGGTATACCCAGCCGTATCAAGCGGCGTAAAACCATAGTCACTCACTTATTTCTTTGCGATATCGCCTCCGTGGTGTAGTGGTTAGAGCGTCCGCCAGGAGAGCGGAAGGTCGCGAGTTCGATCCCCGACCGCGTCATACCAAAAGACGTTAAAATATGGTACTTGTTGGTCCCTGCCTGGCGCTCGGCATTAATGGGTACAACAAGGACTGGTCGGCTCGGAGTCAGTATAATGTGTCTGAGTGGGGTATTCATGCTTCACTGCGGCATGGTATCTCAGTGGAGCTAGCACTATAAAACCAGCTTCAGTCAGGGCTAGTACAAGCAGCCGCACATACACATACACACGCATGCAATATGAGGGAAATATTCTCAAGCACGACGTTAAACCCAATTTCACCTCACATCACCTCATTTCTTTGCGAGGTGGAGTAAACTCGAGCATAGGGGCTTGTAATCCCAAAATAGCACAAATATTATACAGTAAAGAGGCTTTATACTTACAGTAAAGGGACTTTATATTGTGCTGAGACCCCGTAAGCGACAATAGCACACACACGCACGCACGCACACACGCATATATATATTTATCATTGATGCGAGCTTTGAGTTACAAGCCAATGCATGTGTACCCTAGTTGTTAAAGCGTTCGCCCGTCACGAAGATGAAGACATGAAGACATATGTGTAAAACCCATGTTCCACGTCGTGATATTGTTGGAACATTGCCATAAACAGAGTAAAATCAAATCACTTACTGAAGAATTCACCCACTCCCTTAAGACTCAGTTGTGTTGTGGGGGCGGTGGGGTAGCCTAATGGTTAAAGCGTTGGCTCGTCACGCCGAAGACCCGGGTTCGAATCCCCACATGGGCACAATGTGTGAAGCCCATTTCTGGTGTCCCCCGCCGTGATGTTGCTGGAATATTGCTAAAAGCGGCGTAAAACCAAACTCAGTCAGTCAGTTGTGTTGTGTGCTGTGTGGACTTGTGTACAAATCAACGACTTCAGAGACAGAGCTGAATTCAAATACAGAATAATCATGTCCTTAAACAACCTCAAAATGCAAAACAAACCTTTAACAGACTCTCTGACACAGTAGTGTTATAACGGGTATTGTATATCTATTGTCAAACCTCGTCAATCCGAACAGAACCGCTTCGAACAAAAATGTCCGGATTAACAGGTGTTCTGATTAACCAGACATGGTATATTGAGGGTTGATCCATCGTGAATAAGTGACGTTTCCAAGAGTCATTTCCACCGCCCGATTGGCGAGTTTCCAGTTTAAAGAGGGTCCAATGTTCAAAGTAGAACACGAAAAGCAATGAAAACACATCTTGGCACGGTATAGATGCTCATACAAAACCCGACTGCGAAAACCAATCGATGCTGTGTAAGTCAACGTCAAACTACGAATCAAGCCCACAGGCTTAAACATATACACACATTTACTGCCGTCCAGATATACACCATAACGCTCTATGGACAGTGACGTAACCACGCCCCCCTCCTCCGCACAACCGGCAAACATCAAAGGCTGTCATTGACACGAGGTCAGCTTGAGCCGTGTCTTTGGGTCAGTGGAACAAACTAGCTCATTTTGGGGTCATCGACGGGGAATTCTCTTTCTAACTATTTTTGGGTCACTTTGGGTGTTTCCTGGGAATCTCGGTCACATGAAATGATTTGCTTACGAGCCACGTGTGATGCGGGGCTAGTTGACTGGCCCAGGCTCCTCCAGACGCGCAGTCTGTTATTTACTGTTGTACAATTACGTAACCAAGTTAACAGATGAATGAAATCGCCAATATTTCCAAGTGGGCGGGGAATTCCAGGAAAAGCCAGGTGAGGGATGTAAAGCATATATCATTCCTACCAATATCGTTTTATATAATATTCATTTTTCAGGGTTATAAATAGCATCAGTAACACAATGCGTGAAGTCAGGCATAACCTACATAGCGTTGATCAATATTTAATAATGCGATATTTGGAGGAAAAAGCTACATTATGTGAGGTTACAAGTTACAGTTGTATTGTAGCATTCAGTTAGGCTGTACGTTTCACCACACAATACATTAAAAAATATTACTAGCTTTGCAGCAGAATAAAATATAACTCGTAATGATATCACAGGATATACACAAATTCTACCATACTATGTCCTATTCAATGAGAAACTGTTAATTTACAATAAATCACGCCGATCTGAATTATGTTTTAATTTATAAACAGATTGGAATGGACTTTAGATAACGGGTAACAAGGATAAAGACTATTCCACTTATCGCCAGTATGGCAGGGTGATACAAATGTATAAGGTGATGATACAAATATATAAAGTGATGATACAAATATATAAGGTGATTACAGAAATATATAAGGTGATGATACAAATATCTAAGGTGATGATACAAATATCTAAATATACAAATATAAGGTGATGATACAAACATATAAGGTGATGATACAAACATATAAGGTGATGATACAAACATATAAGGTGATGATACAAACATATAAGGTGATGATACAAACATATAAGGTGATGATACAAATATATAAGGTGATGATACAAACATATAAGGTGATGATACAAATATATAAGGTGATGATACAAACATATAAGGTGATGATACAAATATATAAGGCGATGATAAAATATATAAGGTGATGATAGAAATATATTAGGCGATGATACAAACATATAAGGTGATGATACAAATATATAAGGGGATGATACAAAATATATAAGGTGATGATACAAACATATAAGGTGATGATACAAATATATAAATTGATGATACAAATATATAAGGTGATGATACAAACATATAAGGTGATGATACAAATATATAAATTGATGATACAAATATATTAGGTGATGGTACAAATATATAAGTTCCTGATACAACTACATAAGGCAAAAATATATCAGGCGAAGATACAAATATATAAGGCGATGATACAAATATGTAAGTTGATGATACAAATTCATAAGGTAATTAGTTAGGATCTTTGTTGTGTTCATTTCTAGTACTTGAGAAGGCGCAGCCCAGTGTTACAGCTAGTCAAACTGTGCAACTGGGCAACATGGTGACTTTGGAGAATGTGTGAATACGTTATCTTGTGAATCTATCTAGCCACTTGCTGGCTATCATTAATACCGGTACTACGCGGACATGACTACATCTTGAGCACTGACTGCTGATTTAACGTTCTGTACAAAGAGAAAATATTCCCATTTATAGTACCAAATTGAACCACCCGATGAAAATTGTTGGGATAGTATTTTTAATTATGCCATAAATATATATATATATATATATTTTTTTCTGAGAGAGAGAGAGAGAGAGAGAGAGAGAGAGAGAGAGAGAGAGAGAGAGAGAGAGAGAGAGAGAGAGAGAGAGAGAGAGAGACCTAAGAAAATTTTAAGTTTGTTGTGTTACATATGCCTGTTACATGGCCTGTTCAAAGCGAACTCCCCAGTTCTGTGAGGTTTACCGTTAGGCCTCAAAGCGACATGCAAAAGATATGTCTAAATACATAGCACATGCGGATGTCTCAAATATCAATGTCGTAGCTGAAGAAGAAAAATGCAACTGCAGCCGTTGAGAGATCGGGTTTACACATTTTTTCTCAACTTCGTAAAAAATTAAATGCCTCTCCATGCCAGGGGAAACCTCGCTCCTCGCGCCCTCTAGCGAGTAAGACCTTAAAAGTAGGTCGGGCAACCCTGTGTTCCTACGCATATTTGACCTAATATAGTGCGTGGTATTTTCTTCACGACAACACGTGAATCAGCTACTGCACATGACACACGTATTAGGTGTACAACGTATAGATTGTACTCGATATCTTTTCATGTTTTTAAGCGTTGACATTCCAGAATCAAAACATAAGCGTATGTACTTTTCGCTGTTGGAGTGAAGCGGTCTCCCAGCTAACAAGTAGTGCGAGTTATTTTTATCTTCAACCTGATGTTGGTGTTTTGAGTCTAAATATTCCTTTAGTACGGGGAGATTCAAGAAAAATTTACGAATGCTGAGTTAAAAGAATGTCAACTAATATGAAAGGTAAGTTCTTTAAGCGATCGCCTAGATATTTGCAACTTCAGAAAGTCAACAAGTTGTCGTTTAGTCTGCCTACGTGTTGGGGAAAATGGCGCTAAAATGCATGCGATATTTCGAGCCACCGGCCAGTTTGCATTGCATTTTGACGACAACTGGGCAATGCTCTTACAGTGACAATATTGCATATATCTCAAAGAATGACCACTATTTGCAGATTTCATACACGCCTGTCCATATTGAGAATCAAGGGGATTTATTTGCCTCAAAACGAGGAACTTGCATCTGGAGCTTGGCAGTGGTTGTAGTATTTCTGACACACCCCCAATTCGCAACAAACGGCAAAATGAACGACTCAAATGTGACATTTATTCTGACGCTTGTGTATTAAATCAGACTTCAACATAAGCTTCAGTTGTGTCCGTAACTTTCCAGCTCTCCACAGCACCCCTATTCAGCTACATAATCTCTCACCTCGCTTTATTTACATAGATAGAAGTAGGGGTTTGAACTTTGATTTCAACCTCACTGGGCGATGCCAAATTCATTCAGGGGGGAGGACAGTGTTCATATCGGTTGTTGAGGTTTCTAATGACACGTACAGTTCGCTATACATTTGGTCAGATATTTATTCCGAATACAGGTTTCCACTAGATGATGTGTCTATCTCCGTGTGTGGAGATTAAACATGTGGTCGACAGATAGTGGAGATACCGCAAGCAATGAGGCAGCTGTCACGTGACCAGATAAGCTCTATGGTCTGTTTCAACAAATGAGGAATTGTGCTATGCGTTTTGAAATTTGTCATTTCTATAAATGTTTTTTGAAAGCAGATATTTTTTGCAGAGATTGAAATAAGTTTCCCTTGTTTAGGCAGGTTAAATGAGTGAGATTTTTAATCCAGGCATATCACTTCCATTTTTGTGGAAGCCACCGGCTGAGCGGTCTAGGCATCTGACTTTGTGTGCTGGCGATTAGGTGGCTGAGGGTGTGGGTTCGAATCCCGGATGGGACTCAACCCCAAAAGTACTAGAATAAGTACTTTACTAAGAAAGTGTAATCCCAAATATAACATACGTTACATATGACTGTTTGATTCATATTTCACATCAGAAACTGACATATCTATTTTCTATTATATTAGTGACATTGGAAGTAGACTGTTGGTGTTGATTAATGACTGTTTTTCATCAACAGCTGTTTTCTGTGTCATATGTGAAATAGTTAAATTGTTTGAGATATTGGCAATTGTGGATTATATTGATTCTGATTTTTTAAATGATATTTCAAATCCATCTGTAATGTATTTTTTATAGGTTGGTGTGCATGTCAAAGTAAGTTTACAAGTTTTGTAGTTGCCGTGGTTCTGTGAAAATTACATTAGAAAGTGACACAAGATGTCAATTCTCTTATCTATTGTTAAATATAGTTCTGTTAACATTGTAAATGGGTATTGGAATAAATAGCTGGGCATAGTGAACACTTAATGTGTTCGGGCGATGGGGTAGCCTAGTGGTTGAAGCGATCACTGGTTTGATGCCCACATTGATACAATGTGTGAAGCCCATTTGTGGCATCCCCGCTCTGATGTTGCTGGAATATTGCTAAAAGCGGCGTAAAACTGAACTCACTTACTCCCTGTTAAAATGTTTTTACACCAATGTAATCATGTAACGGGCTACATGGATATATTGTATCCCAAGTCTTGTATCAGGTTATGATACTATATGTTGTATCTTAACATCATTCCTGACTACTGTTGACAGTGCTGCAGGTGAAATAACTTGCCTCCAGTCATTATCATTGGAGACAAGAAGAGGGTATTGATGTCCTCTTGTCAAGGAATCCCCCAAGGAGACAAGCAGGGTTCTACATGACACGTGATTCCTGCGTATTTGACGCAACGATTTTGTAAAAAGACTCTCAAAATATTATCATACGAGTCAAGCTTGACGCAAGGTTTATGAGTAACCCTCACAATTCAGTTCAGAGTCAATAAAATCGATCTGATAAGCAAACAATGATAGTCTTCGTTAATTTAGATATTTCTTTCAATTCATGTTAATAACTGTATGTTACAGTGAATAAATCACAAGCCTGATTATTTGTTCAGTATACTGGAGTTTGTTATGACTGAACTGTGAAAAATATACTATTTATTAACTAACATATAAATGACAATGCAACACAAAACAATAAAATCTTTGCCTTTAGATATACACACATAAATATTACGCTAAAATTTTAATGACTCCCAAATATTGAAAATGACTCCCCAAAATACATACTGTGGGTCACCATGACTCTCTTTTTTCAAAGTCTCTGTAAAACCCTGGACAAGTACTGATTGGGTACTTAGAAGATCATGGGACACCCAGCATCCCATGCTTCACATGTGACTTTAAGGGAGATAACTCCATCAGTTCCTGCTCTGTTTATAGCATATAACAATCTCATAGAGTTATGATCTAAGTATTGCATATTCCTAAGAATTGATGGCATCACAGTTATATACTACTCAAAAGATGTTGAGGATCACAATTTTCTCTCAGTCATGCAGTTACTTTTTCGTGCAAACCCGTGAAGGTCCGGGTTACAATATTGATCTTCAGTAACCCATGCTTGTCGTAAGACTAAGAGGCGACTAGCGGGATCAGGTGGTCAGGTTTGCTGACTTGGTTGACATCGGTTTCCAATTGCGCAGATCAATGCTCATGCTGTTGATCACTGGATTGTCTGGTCCAGACTCGACACAGGAATAGACGCTGCCAGACCACTATAGCAGGAATATTGCTCACTCACTCACTTAACCTGATCCTCAGTGAACTTGCTGTTTTGTTTTTGTTTGTTTGTTGTTTAACTCTGCGATATGGAGGCAGTTAAAACATCCGGGTGAGAATTGGTAAACTGGGTTAGAATTGGTCTTCAGTAACCCATGCTTGTCGTAAGAGGCGACTAACAGGATCGAGTGGTCAGGCTTGCTGACTTGGTTGACAGTAGTGGTGGTCCGATTAATTGAAATAATCGAAGATTGGTTGCAGTGACTAAACGACCAAGCAATCGAACATGTTTTCTCGTAATCGAACACGACCAATCTTGGAACACATGTTTGCATTAACAATATTTTTCACAAAGCTGGTTTTGTCTGTGTCATTAAATTTACATTTCATAAGCACCACAAGCTCGTTCCAAGTCATGATTGAATTTATCTTAAAGAATCCAGGAAACATGTGTTCCTAACATACTAATCATCATTTAAATATGCAAAAATAACAGGAACATTTGATAAATGACACTAACCAATTATTTTCGATGATTGATCGGTTGTAATGGACAAATCATCAATGATTGACTAGTTGGTTATTAGATTTTGAATCCCAATTCCCAACACTCGATGTTGAAGTTGATCACTGTTCACATGTCACTACCAAATAACTGGAATATTGCTGAGTGAGGCTTTAAAACAAGATCGATGTCTCATGATGTTGATCACAAAACAATGATCACCAGATGGACATAGCTGAACCCCCAAAAACATTTAAATATATTTTTGAAAATTGTTGTACAGATTTGTCTATCGGTGAACTGGTGTGTTTTTATGAATTTGGATTTTAAAAAACACTGAAAAGCGTTGTATATTTGTTCTCTCACTTTACTGAAGGTATCCAATGACAGTGAATCAAATGTAGCGTGTAAATAGATAAACTCCATTTGCGATTTACATGAGCCTGGAGGAATATTTGGTCTGATGACTTTGTCTACAGAGAAACCTTTTTATTATTTCTTAGGGGCAGTGGGGTAACCTAGTGGTTGAAGCGTTCTTTTGTCACGCCAAAGACCAGTTTCGATTCCCCACCACACCTTATAACATTAAAAGGCAGTTGGGTAGCCCAGTGGTAAAAGCATTTGCTTATAATGCCGAAGACTTGGGTTTGACATCCTACATGGATACAATGTGTGAAGCCCATTTCTGGTGTCCCCTGTCATGATATTGCTGGAATATTGCTAAAAGCAGCGTAACACCATACTCACTCGATATAATTTCTTAATTTGCACAACGTTAAATTCATTGAATCAGGTGTTTCTGATAGTCGTCAGGTGAGAAAAATGACTTCCTGACTTTTTAATCATTATGAAATACGAATGAGTTGGTTACATCCCATGCTTACAAATGAGCATCGCTGGTGACATCAAGTTGTTTCATGGTATTGCAGAACACAGTTGTAATTCAAAGTATTGATTTATTATCATGGTTAATTAATCCTGTGGTGAAAAAATTAATTAGTTTCAATGGGATCAATTAGACAGACAAGACATCCTTACCTTATAATGAAGGTGTTTTGCCTTATAGCGAGGAAGTATTAATGAAGAATTAATGTGAAAGAATACACGGCTTTCAATGTATTTTTCTGGAGACAAAGTCATGAGTACGTTCTCATGAATTTATCGTCCTTGACGTCACATTCAGATGTTGTTAGTGTCAGTAAATTTGGAATATAAAATTTTATGAATATTGATCCTAATTTTAAAATTCACAAAAGTTCGCATTTAAGGTTGCCATTATCATGATGGACTGTAATAAGGCATAAATTTCAATTTTAAACACAATGGTTCAGCCTTGTTCTTGTGGAGTGAGTGAGTAAGTTTAGCTTTATGCCGCTTTTAGCAATATTCCAGCAATATCACAGCGGAAGACACCAGTTATGGGCTTCACACATTGTACACATGTAGGGAATCAAACCTGGGGTTCAGCGTGATGAGCAAACACTTTATCCACTAGGCTAACCCACTGCCCCTGTCATGTGTAGAATTGAATTCATTAATTGCTTCTGTAGGTAAGTTATGTGTATACCTCATACATGTGATACAAGATGATTAAATGATTTATCAATATGTCATGATACTTTTGAGTCGAAACAACTAAACCAAAATTTCTATTCATTGACACCTGTACATTCCATTTTACATCAATACAAAATGTGAAAGAAATATTTAGAACATTGTTG